AAAATCTTTGAGATTGTTTCTTTTCAAAAAATCTTTGAGTTTGTTTCTTTGGAAACAAAATTTTGTCTCTCTTAAGATAGTTTCTTTTGAAACAAAAATCTTTGAGTTTGTTTCTTTGGAAACAAAATTTTGTCTCTCTTAAGATAATTTCTTTTGAAAAAAAATCTTTGAATCTGTTTCTCTTAAAATGAATTTTGTATCTCTTGAGACAGTCTCTTTTGAAGTAAATCCTTAAATATGTTCATTTTGAAAATCTTTGAGTTTGTTTCTCTTAACAAAATCATCTGTGAGTCTATTTCTTTAAAAAATGAATGTTGTATCTCTTGAGACAGTTTCTAATTAAAAACTAACTTTTGAGATTGTTTCATTTGAAACAAATTTGGTCTTACTTAAGATGTAATCCATCTTTGAGTCTCTTTCTTTGGAAACAAAATTTTATCTCTTAAAGACAATTTCTTTTGAAAAAATCTTTGAGTTTGTTTCCTTTGAAATAAAATTTTGTCTCTCGAGACAACTTCTTTTGAAAATACCCACATTTGAGATCATTTAGACAATTTCTTTTAAAACTACCCACCTTGGAGATTGTTTTTATTAAAACAAATTTTGACTCCCTTGAGGCAGTTTCTCTAGAAATACAAAATCTTTGAGTTTGTTTCAATTGAAATAAAACCATTTTTGAGTCGTTTCACTTGAAACATTTTCTCTTGAAACATTTTCTCTTGAAACATTTTCTCTTAAAACAAGATCATCTTTGAGTTTGTTTCTCTGGAAACAATGTTTTATCCCTTAAAAGAATCTCTTTTGAAAAAAAATCATTGAATCTCTTTCTTTGGAAACAAAATTTGGTGTCCCTCGATACAGTTTCTTTGAGAAAAATCTTCGAGTTTGTTTATTTGGAAAACAAAATTTACCATCTTTGAATTTGTTCCCCTTGAAACAAAACAAACATCTTTGAGATCAATTCCCTTTAAACGAATTTTGTCTCATTTGAGACAGTTTCCCTTTAAACGTCATCTTTGAGTCGTTTCCCTTAAAACGAATTTGGTCTTTTTTGAGACAGTTGCTTTTAAAAATATCATCTTTGAGTTTATTTTTCTTGAAACAAATCTTTGGGTTTGTTTCTTTTGAAACAAATCTTTAATTTGGTTTCTCTTGAAACCATAACTCCTAAAGATGGCCAGCCGTCCTCATTATGTAGGAACCGTGTCATCCCCAGACCAGATCTCTTCATCACGTATGAGCCGTGTCAACCATAGATAACCAGCCGTCCTCATCACGTAGGAACCGTGTTATCACCTTTAGATGGCCAGAACTCTTCATCACGTATGAGCCGTGTCATTCCCCAGACCAGATCTCTTCATCATGTAGGAGCTGTGTCAACCGTAGATAACCAGCCGTCCTCGTTATGTAGGAACCGTGTTATCACCTTAAGATGGCCAAGAACTCTTCATCACGTATGAGCAGTGTCAACCCTTGACCAGATTTCCTCATCACGTAGGAACCATGTCACCCTTAGACGACCCGAACTCTTCATCACGTATGAGCAGTATCGTCCCCAACAACCAACATTATCCAATTTCTAAGTTTAAGAAGGAGGAGAACCAGACAAAAACGTGTTTTCTTGTCGTCTTTGCCCTATTCTTGTTAACACAAGAATGTGCAAAGAGGGGCAGCTGTAGACACCTGTTTTTGTCCGGGGTTTTTTTATCGTTATTTTATTATTATTATTATTATTATTATTATTATCGTTATCTTATTATTTTATTATTATTTATTATTACATATTTTTTTTGCAGTCCAAAGCCCAATACAACAAGGCCCAACCTAGGCTTAACCCGAGCCCATCATATGATAACCCAACAAAAATTAGGGTTTCAAAACCCTAAATAATCAGCTCAGCCGCCGCTTCTGTTGGACTTCCAGCCGCGTCGCCGTCACTGTTCCGGCCCACTCCGATGGTCCAGCCGCCGTTCCCGCGCCACCATCGTCATCTACAGTGAAAAATCAATCAAACAGCAACCCCATCAGTGACCAAATCAACCAAAAACCAAACCCCAAATTAAAATACCAATAAATCCCTAAATATTCGGGATTTATATCTTACAAAATCAGAGAAGGACATGGGCTATTCTAGACATCATCATCTCACCAAACGAAAAAAATCAACATGCAAAGCAAGATAAAAGGAAGGAAGCAAAGAGAACAGAGGGGGGGGGTCATTCGGTTAAAAAAAAACAGAGAGAAGAACGAGAGACCATTCGGGTTCAGGGAGAAAGAAAAAAAGAAAGGAGAAAAACCAGAAAAAAAAAACAAAAAGAGAAATGCTCGAACCAAACAAAAAAATAAAAAAAACAAGAGGGAAATAGAGAGGGAGGAGACCATACCTTGATCGGAGAAGTCATCGAGAGGAGGAAGGGTCACCGGTTTCTTGTTTTCCCAAAAGGTATACCTTAGATTTAAGGGTTTAGGGTCGGTTTTAGGTTAGGTAGGGATGATTTTCGGGTTGAGGGTAAAGGAGGGGGGTCTTTTGAGATGTTTACTCCCTCCGACCGCCGGGCACTGCCGTGCCGGCCGTCATGGGCCTCCGGGATGGCCGCCGGTATGAGGCGGCCCTTTCTTCCCCGATGGGAAGAAGTTGAGAGAGTTTTAAAACTCTCTCACTTCCGTCTGCTTTGGATGAGAGGCAAATGAGAGGATGGATGAATGAATGCCCGTTTTTGGGCTTATGTAATTTGACCAAACGGCGCCGTTTCAAGGGTCTGGGCACCCGTGTTTTTGCAAGCATGGGGTAACTACAGTTTAGGTCCCTTCTCATTTGTAATGCTTTATTTAAGTCATTTAATGAAATTATTATTGTTTTATTTCGAGCCTTTTAGTTTTTAATGATTGCATTTCAGTCATTAATTTGTATATTATGTTGGTTGATATTATAATTTGGTTGTGATATTTATTTATTTCGTTTTAGTCACTGTTTCAGTTTATTGTGCATTTTCCTTTGATATTCGGATTTGGTCCTGAAATTTGCAAATGTTATATATTAGTCCCTGTTCATGTTTTATATCATATTTGTCTATATTTGATTCTGGATTTAATATTTTCAAATATTTTAATTTAATCACTGGTCCCATGCATTTTATTATCTTTACTGTTATTTGAATTTGGTCATCATATTCGTATATATTCTATTTTAGTCATTGTTTGATGTTTGGTTTAATATCTATTTTATTTTCTTTTGTTTTGGGCATCTATGTTTCCTTGTTTATATTTTAGTCCTACTAATGTATGTTATGTCATTTTTGTGGATATTTGACTTTGGTCCCAATGTTTGTAATAGTTTCATTTTAGCCCCTGAGTTTATATGTTATGTATTTGGCTGAGTTTCGAATTTATCTCTGACATTTATAAATATTATATTTTAGTCACTGATCTTAGGTGTTGTGTACTTTCTCTGATATTCAAATTTGGCTATGATAGTTATAAATCTATTATTTTAGCCATTATCTTACTTTTGGTTTATTATGATTCGGCCTTCATGTTTTTGGTTATTGCAGTTTAGTCCTAGATGTTGTTTATGGTTTATTTTCGTTTCTAGTGCTTGTAAATGTTTAATATTTTGATTTTGGCTCTGTTTTTTTATTTACCGATTAATCCCTTCATATTTCTATTTATTTCATTTTAGTCCTTTGAAATTCATGTTTGTACTATTTTGGTCCTTTGAGTTTATAGGTTGTTATTTTGGGTTTTTGTAATTCAAAGTACTTTTTTGTCATTATAGTTTGGTTTGTAATATTAATTTTCTTTTATTTTAATCCCCTATGTATGTACATTTTTCATGTTATGTATTTATTTGTACCATGTGTAATTAAATATGCTTAATTTTATTTGTTGTAAATATTTATTTCACATATTCCTATTTCTATTTATTTCCATTTTTCTTTATTTAAATATTGTCCAAATACTTTTAAGAACACGTATGCGTAGAATGAGCGTGGAAAGTATCACTTGGTCGAAGTGGTGCGATCCGATACGGCATTTTAACGACATAGGAACTTGCAACAAGTCGAGTATATTTCATTAATTAATTTGTGCAAATGATGCGATGTGTGTTATTTTAAATAGTAATTTATTTTATTTTATGTAAATGTCAATCTCAAAATTTGCATTTGTATTCAATTCACATTTTAGTTAATCAATTTATTTTGTTGTATGCAAACATCAATTTTATTTATATTCGATTCACATTTTATCAAGAAGGAAATATTCTTTATGGATGAGAAATAGTCGAGTTAGCTTTCCCGATGGAGGATTGCTAATTTCGAGATTTCTTTTCGAGTTAAAGAATTTTCTCTAATTAAATAATTCGAAGCAAATTAATTAATGTTCGATAAATGGATCATAAATTAACTTTATATTCGACTCATAAATTCCACCATTTACAACGATGTGTAAGCGACACAGTACCAATTTTGGGCGTTGCGGGGTGTTTACCCTTCCCCGCACGTAACCGACTCCCGAATCCATTTAAATGAATCTTTGGTAATGCAGACCGAATCTTGTCTTAAAAAATGATTTTTCTTAAAATTGTTTTAAAAGACGTTTTTAGGTATTCGACCTACCTAACCCAAAGGTTGATGGCGACTCTTTTTAATTTTATTCAAATCAATTCAAAATCACCCATTTTTCCAAATTAAAGTCATAATTGTTTTTAAAAATAATATTTAATTGTTTTACAAAAAATGGTTATGACACCTATTAACAGGGAAGTTTCATCTGAATTTTGTCACTTTAGTTGTAATACTTAATTCTCAATTTCCCATTTCCCGTACCAAGTATGCAACGCAGGTTGGTCCGAATTAATCAGGAAAAAACCTTGAAACCAGGAGTACAACAAACAAACAAAAATCTCAATTTCCCCATCGACTCTAGCATGATGGTCATACTCTTGGTGATGCGTATCAATAAAGCCTTGGAAGAAAGTATGACAGCCAAAATGTCAAAACTGACCCCACAAAAAAATTTGCATATTCCATTCAAGGGTCAATTATGGCAATTATATACATAAATGTTGCCCCCGTCAACATCTCATATCTCAAATGCCAACACTATCAACTGGCTTCCATTTATGAAGTACTCAACAGAGCCCCAATATTTGTCCACTTCGACTACTATTATGTAGGATAGGCTGTTAAAAAAAAGAATACAGTGAATTTATATGCATCTAGTATCATGTTGTATGAGCACTGTGCGTTCTTGAGGCCCATATACCAAATACAAGAAACCAGAACACAAACAGGATTGCCCAATAGCGTGTGGGCCCATACTTAATCCTTGTCAGCACAATCTGCAATCACCAGCCATTTCATACAAAAGACCATTCTCAACTGAAATTATATCATACTGAATCAAACAAACCATATGACTTATATTCAGAATGCAACCGAACCCGAAATGATATATTACTTTGGTTTACAATAACCTCAAAGGATGAATTTTTTTTACCGAACAACACATGGAACTATAGGTGCATAAAAAACATGGCATTCCCATTCTGAAGATATTAGCAAAAGTATAGTAAAGTTTATCAAGATAATTGTTGTTAGTTTGTCGAGGAACATAAACATAAACAAAACATCATATATCGACAAAATCCAAATATATTCAACATTTACTCGAATCAAATGCACGAGTTTAGAAAACAATGGCTAGAGATATGGGATCCAAGTTAACTTACAAAGCGAAAGAAGACCACAACTGTTAAAGCACATATGCCTCCCAAGAGAATATGGAGACCACTCCTAGCCGTTTTCTACAAAACAAAGAGTGGCACATAACCGTTATAATCCCTGAGGAATAAATGCATCACAAGTAATAATTATAACTGAATAAACCTAATATATTTAACTAGTTAATGTCTTCATAAAGTTTTTATGGACAAGGATGCATGATGCAGAAGCTATTACTATTATGTATTTTATTGTTTCAGTCTTATTTATTAATTATTAGACACAGATATAGAGCTAGTGTTATAAGTTATCTCTAGGGTTCAAATCTAGGGCTAGAATTTAAGCTTTATTTGTAACCCTGATATAAATAAGTTGGAAAATAGATTTACAACCAACTTCACTATATTCTCTTAATTATTAGACTTTAGAAACTAAAGGTTTTTATAGAACACCATTTCCCCAGAAATGCCAACTTCTTCCTAATTTTGAAGATATAAAGAAGCTTAATGATGTGTATCAGACCCAACACTAATTGTGACAGATATTTTTCTCACTAGAACAGGGGGACAATATAGAAATCACAACATACGACAATATGCAGTGTAACAGAAAGATACAGTAGGCATACATGTATGGAAAATGTTCATAAAGAACTCAGTATGGGAAGAGATTGATGAATTATTCGATAGAGATCTTTCCTCAATTACAGTAAAGAACTTTTTTATTCTAATTAGGCATTTTCCATCAATTAATTAGTATGATCATCTCTTCTCACAATTGGTTTAGAATTGGAAAAATATTTGAGTTTCTGTAATATCTTCATGCATTTTCAATTAAGGCAAGCTGGTTTTTCATATATTGAATTTCTTTGTTGGCAGGGAAAACAAAACGAAGTACTCAGCTTGTTAGATGAGCATTTATCAGAAAATACCTTTCAAACACGAGGAGCAATGAGCCATGCAAGCGTAACAGTAAGTAGACCCGTAGCAAGCAGAATTCCAGTACCTTCCACAGCCCACTTGGTTGTGGGATTTTCAGCGGGATCCACTTCTTCAGTGACAGTATCTGGGGGCTGTTCAGAAACAACCTGTGAAAGTGCAGAAGAACTATTGTTGTTGTTGTTATTACTATGCGGACTGAACCACAACGATATCTCACTTAGTCGTTGCCTCCGAATAGCAGCAACAGCATCAGGGTCTACACCTGAATTTGTGTGAATTTGGGCAGGATTAGGATCTCCACTAGCAGTCCTTTCTCTCAATGCTTCATAATCTTTCAAAGAAACCACAATCTTCTTAAAATCAGAAGTCCTGATATTTTTTGCAGGATTTCCACAGATCTCACAAACAGTAGATCCATGACTAACAAACCATTTGAGAGCACAAGCATAATGCACTAGAGCAAGATCATTTTTACAAGAACAGCCAAGTTCAATTAATGCATCTTGATGATGACACGAGCCCATTTCTAAATCAGTGCTACATATGAAAACCTCTCCTTCAGGGCTTATGAACTCAACAAACCCAGATTCTCTCCTAAGACACTTAGCATGAGACTCATCACCTTCAACATCCTTTTGAACTCCTTCAATAACAGGCTTATCTTCACCCTTGGTTTTAATTGCTACTGCCAAGGGAGGAGAGATCCCCAAAAATGCTAAAGCAGCATCCCCTCTTTTGTCAGATTCTGAACACTGGCACACACGACAAGAAGGCAAACTGGCCTCTTTGCCTAGACTATATCGCGAGTAAGTTCCTGAATCACCAATGTCAGCATTTGAGCAGCCATCATTGCTGACAACTCCATTAACTGCTTGTGGAAAGTTTTCTTTACCCATCATGAATCCAATATAATTAAATAAGATCAGTTCAACTAAAGGAAAATATTATTTCTAGATGCATAATCTTAATATTCCAAGAAGCCGATCACCCCATTGCAAATTGCTAACGAACTGAAATGCAGCAACACTATCTTTACACAAATGGACAGCTCACATCACATCTACTTCCACTCCATTGAAAAAAGGTGTTTTATTGCTTCGGTACGATAGAAACAAAAGAACAATTGCTGCAAGCAGAAAAGTGGATAAAATCACTTAAAGAACACAAGATTCTGTTTCAAAAATAGTAAAACATTGTGCAATATTTAGCAAATATAAAAACATAAAAGGGCACACAATAAAAAAGGAATCCCAAAAAAGTAAAAAAAAAAAACATATACCTGGACAATTATGAGAAATAAATAAGAACAATTGTAACTAAGAATGGGAGGCAGTAGATAGATCATCTTCTTCACCAGATGAAAGGGTTTAAAACAATCAATAAAAGAAAATAATTTTTCAAATAAAATCAATTAAAAACACATGATTTCCACTACTTGAATAAACACTCAAATAGTCCAATAAAATAATTGAAGGCATAGGAAAGGAACACTAATAATTAAAAATGTGGGAAGTCAATAGAGTCCAACCCAAAACTGCAATTCAACTAAATAATATGCAGTTATTCAGAAAAAAAATGAAAAGAATCAAAAGCAAAGCAATAGAATCATAAACTTAACACGCAGCTCAAAAAGTCTGTAGAGAAAACTGGTTAGCAATAATAATAAATGAAAGAACAAACAGAGGAACCAAAGACAACCCATAAATCCCACATCAATAAAATAGAGAAAACAAAAGCAGTATTAAAAAAACCCAAACCTACGGAAATTGGGATGGAACGGGAAAATTGTCCGCAAAAACCTAAAAAGGGGTAGGGGATAGTAGATGTACGGTGGTATTGTGGTGCTGCCGGCTTGGCTCCGATGGTTCTTTTGTTGTATTAATCCGATGTGTCGTAGGCTCCACATTTGCTCTACTTTTTTCGTTTTGGACTGTCACTTTGCTTGCAGAGAGTCGACTCCTTGGAGGGTTTCCAGTGCCTTCCTCTCCGTTTACTGTACTTCGGAATTATTTAGACTTGTATGTGACGTCCATTTGTTTAGAATAACTTCACTTTTAAAAAATCTTTCTTTTTTTATCTACCAAGGGTGCTTACAACAATAATAGTTTTAGGGTGCGTTTGGTTCACGGAATGTAAGATTACCAGTGGGAATAAAAGATTACCAGGGAATAGGATTACTGGGAATGTTGTATTTTGTGTTTGGTTGGTTTAGCAGGAATGTAAGATTACCGTGTTTGGTCAAATGAATAAAAGATTATTGGAATGTATATTTGACCAAATTGTCCTTATTATATATTTGTATAATATTACAAATTGTAAAATATTTATATATTTTCTTTAAAAAATTAAATTCATAATATTTATATAATTTTTTTTACAAAATTAAAAATATAAAAAATGTTTAATGAAAGGATAAAAAAAAAATTAACTCCTAAACTTCATATAAAAATTTTAATTATAGACTTTTTTTGTAAATCTAAAATAATTTAAGGATAAATTTGTAATTTAACTTTCGTAGAATTTTTATTATTCAATGACAGAAGAATGATATTTTTGAAAAAAATAAAAATTTAAGGGCATTTTAGTCCAAAACGCCGGTAATGTTACAATACCTAAGGGAAGGGAGGTAATGACATTCCCGGTAATATACCCCAAAAAATCTACTATTGGTAATAAAACATTACCGGGAATGAGATTCCCGGTCAACCAAACATGGGAATGTGGGATTCCCATCCCATGGGAATCCCACATTCCTTGAACCAAACACCCCCTTAATGACTTCTGCCTATTTGATAATAATTGCTTTGAATATTTTGTGCAGTTTATCATACTCAAATTTAAATTTTTTTTATAATAACAATAATTCTTTTAATTATTAAAATAATTGGTTTAGAGATGGACACGAGTTTCGAACCCACCAACTTTTGATTAGATCTTAGGTTAAGATTTTTTTAATAAAAAAATCAAGTTCTGATAGGGTCAAATTGAGTTTTTTTTAGAGATTATATTCGGGTCAGATCGAGTTCGAGTTTAGGATTAAAAATACCCAATTTGACCAGATCCAAAAAAGAATATAATTTTACCTTGTATATTTAGGGATAATTACAATAATATCCTATATCTATATATATTTTTAATTAAATCCTTATTTTTATTGAAGAAAAAAAATATTTTTAATAAATATATTATTTCAGGTTAATCAGTTTTGGATTTTATCTCAAAAAGTCGGGTCGAGTTTAAGTTGAGTGGAAGATATATATTTTTATAGATTGAACCGGATCAATCAGGTGAAGAATGTATAATTTTTAGATCAGATCAAATTGACCGAAACTCAACCCGTGCTTTCATATTCTTTTTTCTTTTTAGATATCAAGATTTCTAGAAAAGATTTCTAGAAATGTCTTTCAAAAATTATGCAGGATTTTATGAAGTACATAGATATTTTTATGTTTAGATATCAATATATTTTTTATGAAGTATAACTCAATTACGGAAGTTTTTCTGAACTATAGATATTTGGATAAAATGTACAAATGATCATTTGATTATAAGATATTATATTTAATTATTAAAAATTATAAAATGATCATTTAATTATATGTTCAGATAAAAAAATTGTTTCAACTAAATAATTATACATGCAATTGAATTCAAAAGCACACTCTAAAAAAGTCATGTTTTTATTAAATTATGATGATTATAAAGTAATATTTAAATTAATTTAAATAAAATTAATAATTTTATTAAAAATATTAGATTTATAATAAAATAATAGAAAGTTTAAGATAAATATAAAAATAAGAATATAATTGTAAGATTGAAAATAATAATAAATAAAGTTTATTTATCTTACTTGTTATAAAAATATTAGTTTTATAATAAAAATAATAGAAAAAAAACTAAATCAAAGGAAATAATATTAGATTTGTAATAAAAATAATATAAAGTTTACTTATGTTACGACTAAAACTTAACAAATAAAGTTATGTATTATTTTTTAAAATTTTAATAAAAATATTAAATATATAATTAAAAATAACAAATTTATTTCTTTATCAAATAGTTCTCATTATAAATTTTTCATACAAGATTAATATAAAATTTTGATAACAAATTCTAACACATATTATAGGATCGTATTTGTGTCAAATTATCGATTTATCATCCCTAAATGATGGTTTAATTCAAAGTATTGAACGATTGAGAATTGAAATTAAACCTAAATGATAAAATTAACAAATAAGAATACATATTTTTACAAGTATATATTAATTATTCTATATATATTTGATTTTGATTAGACTCATAATCAATTCAACCCGAATTGACTTGATCTAAAGGTTTACCTAAACTGAAAATTAATTGATCCGATATTGACCTGACCCGAAATCTAACAGATATGGTATTAACCCGACTCAAAAATCAGCAGATCTAGTATTGACCCGATCCAAAAATCAACCAATCCATTATTGATCTGAATCGTAAAACAATCGATCCAATAATCACCCGACCCGAAAATTGACCCGACCCGATACTCGACACGATCTGATTCACCGTACACCCGAACTAGATCCGAACCGATCCGAACAAAATTAAATCGAATTTAAACTAGACCCGAAATTATCTGATCCGAAATGACCCAACCCAAACCCGATCTGAATTACCCGTTTGACACCTCTAGCTCTCTTGTAGCATATTTTTTATGGCTTAAGGGTCAATTTTGTCATTCTAATAGACTCAATTTATCATTTTTATCCCTATCATATTTTCGTATCAATTTAACCTTCAAAGTTGTTTAATTGCATCATTCTATATTATTTCTCCCAACTTACAATCCTAAATTATAAACCTTAAATTAGTGTTTAAGTTTAGAGATAATTAGGTTATAGTTTAAGGTTTAAGATTTATAAATTAGGTTATAGAGGACTTTTGCCTTTTTTTATATTAATTATAGGTGAATACATGATAATATTTCTTTGAAAGACTTTCAATCATTTAACTTATTATTCATACATCTTAACAAATAGCGGCGAGGCTACAATTTGGTGAGAGTAAGCACGTGTCCACTCTGAAATCTAAATTTTATTCGATTAATTACTTTTTATTTCACTGATGGTGTCCACTCTGAAATTTGTCGTACCTACTATAAAATTTGAACTTTCTTCAAGTAGTTATTTACTTACGGTGCCTACCTAAAATTTTATTTGTACCAATCTCATTTAAAAATTTTATGTTGTTAACGTACTTGTACCTATCTTAAAAATATTTCTGAATATGTCACTATTTACAATGTCCTGTCCGAATCTTAGATGATAACAACATTCCTTTTAACCATTCAATATTTGGTTCTTGCTCTCTCTCACTACTTTACTCTCTCTGTCTAATATTTTTTTCATTATTTTAATTCTCCTATCTCTCTCTCTCTTAAATTTATTGGCAACTGTTCATAGAATTTTAGCAACCGTTTTCTATGGTTGGCTCTCTCTCTTGCAGTTGATCATCGTCCACATGCGTAACCCCTCATTTTGCTTTGTATGTATATCATTCTTATTGTTTTAACAGTATTCAATGTTTCATTCCTCAATAGAAAAATGTTTACTAGAATTGTTGAAGGTTAAGAGTTCCGATTTCCTTATTTTGATTAACTTTATTCTTTGGTTTTCTACTTTTTATATACGGTTAAAACTCTATAAATTAATAATGTCAGGACCGGAGAAATTTATTAATTTAGAGAGTTATTAATTTATCGATAAATTAATAATTATTAATTTAAAGAGTTTTTAAATAATTATAATGTACATACCAAACAAAAAGGTAAATTAGTCCATGCCTCTTAGAATTACGTTACAAGATATGAGTTAAATTAATAATGAGCTCCAAATAAATTTGAACTTTAAAGGAAAACATACAACTATTGAATCATATTTCAATAGAGTGTAATATATTTTTTTCAGTTTCTATGAATTATTAATTTATGATTTTCTTGGGACCGAAAATTATAAAGGGATCTCACGAAAAATTATTATCTTATTATTTTATTGAGTTTTTCAAATTTTTATATTGGCCCAAGTCGGGACAGGACAAATTTATTATTTTAGAGAGTTTATTAATTTATCGAGTATTAATTTAAAGAGTTTATACTGTAGACTTGGTTGTTAGTAATTTTAAAATTGTATATTCCTTGCTTTCGAGTTCTAAATTTATTGAATATGGGTATTTAAACTTGTTTTTGATTTTGGGTTTTCCTTTCTTGTCAGAATTTCGATAAATGTGATGGAACCGGAGGATTTGCACTCTGATCTTGAAGCTTTAAGAGAACTATATGGACTTTTACATTGGAGTGAAGCTGCCTGCAATGTGGTGGTGAGTTATCTTCAAAATTCAAATTTAGGTTGCGACTGCGACGATAGCGGTCATTGCAGGTATCACGCGGTCATTGCTCGGATGACACCTTTCCCGCTATTTTGATAGTGGATTGCTATTTAAATCCCTGGTTCTCGTAGAAACCTTTGTTTGCACCATTGTGGTGGTGAAGTTACCAGCAATGTAGGCTTTGGCTCTATTTTGAGGCAATAGTTACTTGCTTACAAGTTGGCAATTCGGGACATATAATTTACCTTTCAATTCGTTCATAATTATTTTCCCTTTGATGGTATGCAGTTAAGTGAAAGATCGAAGTTTTTACTGAAGAATCTCCTAGATGGTGCTACCAAGAGAGTTTTGGAGACACACAAAAGGGTAAACGGACTATGTCAATGTGTGGACCTTTGCTCGGATTATTTACCATCTGCTGTCCCTTTCCAATCATTTTCTTCAAAGTTTAGTAACATAATTGTTCAACATTGATGCTTCCTTTATTGTTATTCCGACTGTGACTTGCTTTTTCGACGATATCATAGCCCTGTCCGAGTTCATATATGTTTTGTTGCGATGATTGTAACCTTTTTTGTCGATCAATTTGTGTCGTAGATGATAGCAGCAGCAGAACATGGTATCTGCGGCAGTTCCTGCTATTCCGAATCTGGA